GTAAGCATCAGGAGAATGAGAGGAGGAGGTGAGAGGGACGAAGAACAGCTCTCTCCGTTACTTTCTCTCATCCGCTTTGACCCTCTCTGTCTATGACTTTCCCTTATCCACTTTCACCTATTGCCTCGCTTCAGTCCATGCCCTAGCCTTCACTCCTTTCCAACCCCTTCTGACATGAGCAAGCATCAGGAGAATGAGAGGAGGAGGTGAGAGGGACGAAGAACAGCTCTCTCCGCTACTTTCTCTCATCCGCTTTGACCCCTTCCCTTTCCTAGCTCCATGCGTGCCCTTTGCTAAGAGAAAAATAAGAGAGAAAAGAGGAAGAACAGAGGAGACAGGGGCTTCCGCCCTTTCATTACGTAGCTTTGGCTTACGCTTCTTTCTTGTGAATCGTCCTTCTTCCTTCTGAGTGATAGAGGGAGAAGGACGGGAGGCAGGAAAGCCAGGAGGAGAAGGAATAGGGCAAGCGATTTTATCAAAGCGAACATAATAGGCGGAGAGAAGCGGAAAAGGGAATGTGCAGAAGTAGACGGGAAGGGAGGGAGAGAGAAAGAGGGATCTGGAGAGAACAATGAAAAGGAGGATGGATGAGGTGATGAGAAAGAGTGCCCTTTGCATGCCCTGAACTCTCCGTTCCTTTCATTTCTCCTTCCTTATGAAGATGAATCTCGACTTCCCCCGACTTTCTCTTATCCACTTTCACCTATTGCCTCGCTTCAGTCCATGCCCTAGCCTTCACTCCTTTCCAGACCCTTCTGACATGAGTAAGCATCAGGAGAATGAGAGGAGGAGGTGAGAGGGACGAAGAACAGCTCTCTCCGTTACTTTCTCTCATCCGCTTTGACCTTCTCTGTCTATGACTTTCCCTTATCCACTTTCACCTATTGCCTCGCTTCAGTCCATGCCCTAGCCTTCACTCCTTTCCAACCCCTTCTGACATTAGCAAGCATCAGGAGAATGAGAGGAGGAGGTGAGAGGGACGAAGAACAGCTCTCTCCGCTACTTTCTCTCATCCGCTTTGACCCCTTCCCTTTCCTAGCTCCATGCGTGCCCCTTGCTAAGAGAAAAATAAGAGAGAAAAGAGGAAGAACAGAGGAGACAGGGGCTTCCGCCCTTTCATTACGTAGCTTTGGCTTACGCTTCTTTCTTGTGAAACGTCCTTCTTCCTTCTGAGTGATAGAGGGAGAAGGACGGGAGGCAGGAAAGCCAGGAGGAGAAGGAATAGGGCAAGCGATTCTTTCCAAGCGAACATAATAGGCGGAGAGAAGCGGAAAAGGGAATGTGTAGAAGTAGACGGGAAGGGAGGGAGAGAGAAAGAGGGATCTGGAGAGAACAATGAAAAGGAGGATGGATGAGGTGATGAGAAAGAGTGCCCTTTGCATGCCCTGAACTCTCCGTTCCTTTCATTTCTCCTTCCTCATGAAGATGAATAGGGTAAGAGAAGAGGAAGAAGGCGAAGGGCAAGGAAGTAAGAGAGGCGAGCGAAGGAGGAATTCTCCTTTCTTCTCCGAACCGTCTTCCCGCATCTCACCGCTTCCTTTCTGTTGTCTGCTCTTCTTTCCTTATGTCTTCGCAGATCCTTTCCTCCTTCTTATCCTTTTCTTTCCTCTGGTCATTCAAAGAGGAAACGATGAGGAGACGCGAACTGATTCTCCTTGCTCCTTCTTACCACACTCTGCTTCTCTACATCCCCCTGCTTTCTTTATACTCGGTTTGGTGTTCATGTCTTCGGGAGGCTCCCTTAGGGAGGAAGTTGGTGGCCTCCAGAAAGTTGTGGAAGTGCCTGAAGGCGCCTACAAGCCTCCTCAAAGCCCTCGCGAGGCCCGGAGTCCTTTGAGATACGGCAACACTGGTACTCTCTCGCTTCCTCTTCTGTGTCCTTCTTCCTAGTCTTCCTCGTTTCTCTTTCTTTCGCACTCGACTTCCCCCGACTTTCTCTTATCCACTTTCACCTATTGCCTCGCTTCAGTCCATGCCCTAGCCTTCACTCCTTTCCAGACCCTTCTGACATGAGTAAGCATCAGGAGAATGAGAGGAGGAGGTGAGCTCTCATCCGCTTTGACCCCTTCCCTTTCCTAGCTCCATGCATGCCCTGCGCCAAGAGAAAAACAAGAGAGCAAAGAGGAAGAAGAGGAGAATGGGGCTTCCGCCCTTTCAATACGTAGCTTTGGCTTACGCTTTTTCTGGCCACCCCTTGCCCCTTCTCTTATCTTCCTCTCTCTTCTTCCTCTGCTGGGCTTGAAGCTCTCCCTCGCTCTCTCTGTATCTCTCTTCTTTCTGTCATTTCTCAATCTCGTCCTTTCCCTTGTCCACTTTCCTTCCTGGTTCCCACTTTTCCAACAGACAAGAAAATCAAAGAAAGGAGAGCGGGCGAGCGGTGGGAGAGGAAGGGCACAAGGTGAGTGAAGAGGAGAACACTTCTTCCTCGTCTCCCTCCACAAGCTCTTCCTGGTGTATCACCAATGAGACAGTGTGATAGGACAAGAGCAAAGAATGAATAGACGTGGAGGTCAAGGCACTGTCGGCTGCTTTATGCATCGCCTCCTCTTTCTGTCTCTCTTTTTGATTATCTTTCCCCCATATTTTCTCTCTTTGTTTCTGTATTTCGTCCCTTATGGCTCTCTCTCCGTTTCTTTTGTCTGTTTTCTTACTCCCTTGTCTTTCTCCTTGTGAGTCTTCCTTCTTCCTTCTGAGTGATAAGGGGAGAAGGACGGGAGGCAGGGAAGGGAGGAGGAGAAGGAACAGGGCAAGCGATGGGACAAAGAGAGTGAGAGAAAGTTGAAGATAAGTATCAAATCAAGCATAATGTAGTAGGCGAGAGAAGTGGAAAAGTAAATGTGCAGAAGTAGAGAGGAAAGGATGGAGGGAGAGAGAGAGAGAGCGAGAGAGAGAGAGAGAGGGGGAGATGGACAACGCAATGAACACGATGAAGGAGGAGATTATGAGGAACAGTGTCACTTGCTCTCCCTGAGCTCTCCGTTCTTGTCGCTTCTCCTTCTAATTGTGAAGAAGGATAGGAGCAGAGAAAAGAAGGCAAGGGCAAAGAAAGTCAAAGAGCCGAGTGAGGGAGGAATCCACCTTCCTTCTCCCAACCATCTTCCTCCATCTTATGTCTTCGCTTCTGTTTTCTATTCCTTCCAGCAAGGGAGCAAGGAAAGAGGGGACAGAAGAGATGAGAGAGCGAGACACGGCAGAGAGGAAGACAGAGCGAGAAAAAGAGAGAGAGAGAGAGAGAGAGGCGGAAGAGAGACAACGCGAGAGGAAATGAAAAAAGCGAACCACGTCGAGAGGAACTGACGTCGTCCCTTTGCCCCTCCCTCGTGTTACCCCTATCATTGACAGCAGAAGGCGACAAGAAAAGAAACAGAAAAAGGATCAATCAAAGGAAGGAGAGAAGGGAGAGACGAGAGAATGAAGAGTTCACTTCGTCCATCTTCATGCCGATTCCTTTGTCATGACTTCAATTTCTGTGTCTTCTTGACAAACGGCAGAGTGGATAGGCAGGAAGAGGAACGGGAATGAGAGAAAGACACAGGACGAGAAATACACAAGACAGATTCTTGATGGTTCCCGGCGCGAGAGGGACGGGAGGACATTGTGATAGACTGTGATAGACCCTAAAACCAGCACGGAGAACTTGTGAGAGCGTAAAACCATCTAAATCCTCATAAACTCCAAACCTTAGATCTTCCATAGTATACTGACCCCGGTAAACCATAGTTAGGAGCTAAGACCCTAGACCCTTATAAACTCCTGTCGAGACCTTTGCACTGTACACGCTTCGGCCTCCCGATGCAACCGTCGTGCCAGACCTTGTCGTCGCCGTGTTGAACCCAGTCGTCGTCGTGCTAAACCGAGTCGTCGTCGTCCTTGTCGCCGTGGTGTTGTTGCAGTTTAAATACAAAGCCCAGCAGGATTGCCAAATAGACCCTAAAGGTCCATGCCACATAAGGATATAGGGTTTGAGTTTTTAGTGGGGTTTAGGGTTTAGGGTTTAGGCTGTACTTGGAGGCTCATGGGGAGTTTTAAGTAGGGTTATAAGTAAGGTACCTACCTAAACCCCCCCAAAGTAGGTAAAATAATGGCCCAATACCCATAAAAGGCTATTATTCTACATACTTTTGGGCCCAAGTAAAGATATAGCCTTGCCCATATTAGGGGACTGAGAACCCCACTTATAGCTACCCATGAACCTCCAAGTAGGGGGTTTCGGGCTTCAGCGATTTAGGGTTTAGGGGCTTGGGGGTTTGGGAGTTTGGGGTTTAGGGTTTAGGGGTTTAGGGTTTACTTTAAATTATACCTAAGCCCTGAAGATCCTACCTTTTTCAAGACTTATATATGGGGATCCGGGGGTCTGGGTAGGCTTAGGGGGTTGGGGGTTAGGATGTAGGGTTTAGGGTTTAGGGTTTAGGGTTTAGGGTATTCCGGGTCGGGTTGAGGCCTTCAGGTAGGTGTTGATTCTTCAGGATTCTAGAACAGTTGAGTACTACTAAGGGTACTACAAAGCTTTCAGAGTTCTCAGTTCAAACGCCCCACACCCTCAACCTCTAAACCCCTGAACCCCTAAACCCCAAAACCCTAAACCCCTGGACCTTGTTGTACCCTTAAAGATCCCTTAAAGAAGCCCTGAAAGGAACCCTTTAAAGGTAAACTCAGAACTTAATGGTACTGCCCTAACTGGCACTCACAATGACCAGAAAACCTAGACCCCAGAACGGGAACAAGACTCCATGGTCCATACAAGCGTCGAGACTCATGATTCCTTGCTTCGTGCAGTGGCATGACCAAACTTCGCACACCCTCTCTAGACCCAAGAGTAACCCAGAAAAAAAAGGATGCCCTTTTTGGCTGAAAGGGGCTTACCAGGGAACCTGAAACCTAGAAAAAGGGAATAAGGGCCTACTCTAGGTCCTAGCTCTAGAACTACACAGCCGCCATACAGCCCTGAACCCAACACCCGAAAGACTGAACGCCATGAGCCCATGAAAACAAGGAGGCGCCTGCGGGAGCTGCAGCATTGGCATGCAAGGCCTGGTGTTTGTTGGTCAACAGGGCTCAGGGTTAGGGTTTAGGGCTTACACAAGAAGGAGTAGCGGAGGCTGATTGGGGTTCTGAAGTTTACAGCTCTATGCGCTTGAATTGAAAGCTGCTTGGGGTTACAGCAATAAGTTACACCATTCCGCCAAAAAGCTTTCTCTATCTCTCTCTCTCTCTCGCTCTCTCTGTCCCTCTCGGTCTCTGTGTATATGAACACCATCACACACGGATGAACATATATATATATATATATATATATATATACGTATATATAATACACAAACACCTATGCACATGAACATCTGCTTTTGAGCCTCTGGGTTAATGGTGTGAAGCATAATCATTGTCACAGGCTGGTAGGCTTCAGGCGTCTCCAAGCCGCACCACAAATCCTACACCTGCCTGAACCACCAAAGAACCTTCCTCTTGAGGGCTCCTTGTTCTGAGTTCCTTCTTTAAGTCCGCAAACCCAGAACCAGCCAATTTCTAGGGTTCCTGTATGATTTAGTCCGTCAACCTTGCAGGGTTCCTTTTCTGTGGTTTCCTTCTACAGGTCCTTTAAATGTATGTTTGAGGGGTCAGGTTGCTCGGAGTCTCGGAAACACAAGTGGCGAGTGAGCCGCAAAAGCCGGATCCCGAAGGGCCGAGGTTTCGGGTGTTGGGCCCAGGGCTTAGTAGGGTTTGCCAGAGCTCAGATATAGCCACCCTAAACCATAAACCCCAAACCCTAAACCCCTGAACCGTAAACCGAAACCCTTAAAGTAAAAGCCAGAAGGTTGGAATATGCTTATCCTAAGCCCTTTATGGTAAGTTATGAGGTATCCTACCCTGAAACCATATTCCAACTTTCTGGAGTTCCCTGTAAATGTTAGACCTTCCAGGCCCAAGGGCCTGAATCCTTAACCCAAGCCTGAGCTACCCAGAGCCTCCAAAACCCCTTAACTAAGGAATACTCCTTAAATTATAGAAGGATCCCTAATAGGATTCAAGGTATATTCTTACTTCCTAATAGGATTTAAGGTATATTATTAATTAAGGGGTTTTGGAGTCTCTGGGTACAAATCCTTGCCTTGAACCCCCAACCCCCTCTGCAGCCACCCAGCTGGAGGATCGTAGTGGGAACTCGCAAACCTCAAAGGGGAGAAGGAGGGACCCTTAATAAGGACCCCTAGGTATATACCCTTAATATAGCCATTATATACCCATTATATGGTAGGGGTCCCCATTAAGGGTCCCCCCTTTCCCCTTTGAAAACCTGTTGCTTTGGGCTATCCCTCCAAAAGGGTCCAAAGTAACGATATATACTAGGACACCCAGTAACCTAAGAATAAAAAGGCCTCTCTTTTTGGTATTGGGTACCTTTATAAGGAACCTAGGACTACAAAAAAGGAATAAGGGTACTACTGGGGATCCTAGTATAGTAGAATGTACCCATCGGCTCCATAGTAGTTCCCTTTTTGGGGTTCATATTTAGAATCCTATAAGATAATCCCAAAAAGGAACTACTACGGAGCCTATGGGTAGGGTCTCTAAATTAGGAATTACTTCTAGGATTTGGGAAAGTATCCCCCGTACCACCACCTAGGACCCCCTGGGCCTATGACTACTGAGTAAGGGGTCATTTCCTTCTATTGCTTTGTAGTGTTTGGAGCTAGAGGTTGTAACTATACCCCCCTTAGAACCATAATAATAGAGAGCGGCCTGCCATGGGGCCTGAATTTTGAGTACTATATTTCTTGGTCTCATAAAGAATTGTGCATCTGTAATAATAGTAATAATACTATGCTTGATATTCTCTTGGACTTTATTTGAACAAAAAGTAAAAACATATATCGCAAGGAGACCTTCGGCAAATTCCCCAAGAATCCGCAAACCCTAAACCCCCTAAACCCTAAACCCTCAGAGCCCTTCCAAGCTCCGGATCTCGCAAAGGATCAGGCCGATTGGAGTCAGCATTGGCCTTACCCAAAGACGCCAATATCCCTTAATTAAGGAATATCCCTTAAATAATATTAGGGATCCTACTATAAGTTGAGGCATATTCCTGAATTAATGGGTATTGGAGTCTCTGGGTACTTGTCTGGGGTCGGAACTCATCTGGGAGTTTCCGAGAATTAGGGGTACCTTATTTTGGGGTCCTTATAATCAGGATCCTACTATTTCGGGTGCTATATTGGGGTACCCTAATTTTGGAAACTCCCATTTGGGCTCTTTAACTTTCGACAGCACCTGAAGCTTTGTAGGTCTTGATAATGTGCACTGCAAGGGTCCTGAATGGTTTTTATGTGTTGCAAGTCATCAGGTCATGCGTGCTCAGGGGGAAGTTACAAGGCTTCTAGGGGTGTTGGAGTCTTTTGTCATGTTCATGAGCTTAGCTCAGGTTGCCATAGCAGGAAGACGCATCAAATCGACCGTTTAACCCAAAGCTTTGTCTGCCATTGGGGCTCTTCAACGTGAAGGGGTTTTCATCAATAGGCCTGGAATTTGTTGCAGGTAGGGCAGCGACGAAGCCATCCTTGTTTCAACATGGTGCCTCTAGCTCAAGTGCTAAACCCTAAACTCTAACACTGAACCCGTGCCGTACCATTTTGAAACCAAAAAAGAGGTCCCAATTTGGAAAACGACCAACTGTAAGGAATAGCACTGTGGACCTAACCATTACTACTGCTCTATACGAGTTCTACCAGATAGCAGACCACAGGTAACTAGCTTCTAGATTTCCGGCTGCAGGTATACGTAACCCTAAACCCTAAACCGTGGGTTCTTGAGTACCATACTTGAAAACATTTTGTTGGACCTGCTACGTTCCTTAAAGAAACCATTCTAGGATACCCAGTAACCTAAGAATAAAAAGGCCTCTCTTTTTGGTATTGGGTAACTTTATAAGGAACCTAGGACTACAAAAAGGGAATAAGGGTACTACTGGGCATCGTAGCATTTTAGTACAAGCCGGAAAGTTGGAACATCCTTATCCTCACGACCTTAAGGCAAAGTATAAGGGATCCTAGCGCGAATCCTCCTAAAGCCATGTTCCAACTTTCTGGCTTCTACGATACGACATCGAAGTCTATACTGTTTCTCCCTGGGTACTTCAAAGTCCAGAGCCCTAAACCCTAAACCGCGCGGAAGTTAGACCAGCTGCTCCAGTAGCCCCCTTAATGAGACGGTACCCTTTTTCCCAGCATTCGGCTTCATAACGAGAGCCCAAAATGAACAGGGCAAAAGGATACTAATTACTGGGAACCTAGTAGAAAAGTGAGCGGCCGGCTCAAAATCTCGCTCAGAATGTTTCGGTCAAACATGTCGCCCACAACGAAGAGACCCCAAACCGAGTTAATGTACGCGCTTGAATGACCAGAGCCTTACTTGGATTTTAGGGCATCTTATACTAACAAGGAACCCTAAGGAATAATCCAGGCAATGATTTCAAATCCCGAGCCCCCAAAACTCCATTACTAGTTCATTGTTGGGATAGGAATAAAAATGTATATTTTTATTCCTTACTGGGTTTAAGTACCCATAAGAATGCAAAATGTTACCCAACTATGACAAAGAATACCCTTCAAGATCGAGGCGGCCCAAGGACTACGGTTGACGATACAAATTCTGCATTACCCATAATAAGGAATATTCCATAATTGCCATAGTTTAGGGTCCTTATAAGGGAATGCAGGATTTATATCATCAACCGTAGTAGTCTTTGCGATCTTCCGAGGCAGCGGCGGCTGCTGGACGCACTGGTGGCGTAAACCTCCATTGCTTCTAGGATCGGGGGATTGAGTAAATAAGTTTTGCGGCCCCATTGACGGGTTCGAGTTACAAAGGTCTAGGGTTCGGCCACTTTGTCAGTAGGTGGATTTGGGGTGCACCTTAGGACCTTAACCCGGAATAGCCTACCTTTTTAGGGACTTATATATGGAACTCATAATACGGAACCCCAAAAAGGTAGGTTATTCAGGGTTAAGGTAAGCTTTAGGAGGGTTCAGGGCTTGCCCGACGAGTCGAAATGGCCAAGACTGAATTAAGGCCGTCTCCCTCCTTTCAGGTTTAGGGTTTAGAGTTTAGGGAGGTTAGGGTTTAGGGTTTAAGGGTTTAGGGTTTAGGGTTTAGAGTTTAGGGCCCTCCTTTCATGGGCCGGTCAAACCTTCGCGGGCTGGGGAGTCGGTGTGGCAGTGACCTTACACCCACTGGAACAACCATGCTGTCAGCCATCCCACCCCGAAACCCTTATCTAGGTTGGCCATGTAAAGCTTCTGGAACAATATTCGTAAATAGGGTCCTACTAAGCCCAATAAGGGAAAAGCCTTAGTGAGGGCTTTGCTCCCAAACCTGTCGTCTCAGTTGCACATGCTGTAGTTCTTTTGGGGGGATACCTTATGCCATGCCCTTTAACACTGACTAAACGAGAGCAGATAGAATAATGGAAACTATAAGCATGTTGCACTGTCATTGAGGGCTTGCGATTCAGTGTCTAGACTAGACCCGAAAGCCGTAAACTTTGCATCCAACCCTACAACATCTCCGTGTCCCCATCAGTCTGCGTCCAAGTCTCGCTTCAGGCTAGAATGCTAGAACTAGACCCAAAAGTAACCTAGGAAAAAAAAGGATGCCCTTTTTGGCTGAAAGGGGCTTATCAGGGAACCTGAACCCTAGAAAAAGGGAATAAGGGCCTACTCTAGGTCCTAGAGAATGGTTTAACGTTGAGGGTTCCAGGGCTTAAGTGCTTCTATTTTGCTGCATGGGAGCTGGGAGGGTGGGTTGGCATTTCGGGCTTAGGCTGAGGGAAGGCTGCAAGATGGATTAGGGCTTAGGGCCTTAAGGTTTACCATAACCCTGAATAACCTGCCTATTTAAAGCGTTCCCAAAACATGACTTCCTTATGTAAGTCCTTGAAAAGGTAGGTTATTTAGGGTCTTAGGGCCCTTGGTTTAGGTGCCGCTTCCCTCTGAACCCCCAGCCTTAACGGCAGCGCTTGTTGTAAGGAGGTCAACACCTGCATTCACAGTACACGCGACATGGATATCTATGCACATATGTATGTAGATAACTTATAAGTATGCATGCTTATTCGTCCCCATGGGGACTCTATGCTCCTGTCGAAACACTCCGCCCAACATGGATACGAGCAAGTACGACACCAAACTCTGAGCTATATTGTTTGTTTCTTGGGTCCAGAATCCCTAAACCCTAAACCCGAAACCCTCAATGGGTTGAATTAAACCCTCAAGGCTCATTTTTTGCACATGTCCTACAAAGAAGTCAGAGCTTTGCTGCAGCCTTGGCATTATTTTCAGTACGTGTTCACAATCAATCATACTAACTGACTACTGAAGTCAGCTTTTCGCTGGCATTCAATCGCTCAGCCTCCCTTTGAAATGACTATGAGAATCCAGAAGTAGCTTTCTCACAAACCAATCAACAACAACTCTTATTGACAACATCTCTGGTTGACCATATCCCAGTCTGACGTCTTGCCACGACTTGACGCTGGTCCATGTACCTTAAATGGGATATACTCCGAAACAGGGGCTGCTTTAAGGCCAATGTATATGCTATTTGGATACATGGTAGGGTGATCCACTCTTAGGTTCCTGCTTAGTTGCCTTGTTCCGGGTCAAACTGCAAGGGTTTATTTAGGGCGTGGGGCTTATATGGTTCTACCTGGGCCCGAAGATATACATCATTTCCTTATGGAGGTTCTTAAACAAATACGTTTGGGGGGAGGTTTGAACATAATTAAAGTAAAAGCCAGAAAGTTGAAATATGATTATCCTAAACCCTTTATGGTAAACTATAGGGTATCCTGCCAAGAAACCATATTCCAACTTTCTGGAGTTCCCTTTAAAGCCTAAATCCTTCAGCTGAAGGGTTGATGCTTGGGGCTGTAGGCCTCGGCTTTAGGCTTGAAGTATATGGGAGTTTCCGAAAATAGGGGACCCCAATATAGTACCCTAAATAGTAGGATCCTTATAAAAAAGGACCCCAAAATAAGGTACCCCTATTTTCGGAAACTCCCATATGGATAGTTCTCTTAATTAAGGTCCTTTTTGAGGTCCCCGAAAAAACGGCTTACGTATAACAAGCCTGAAATAGAGAACTACCATACGAAGAAATACGACTCCCAACAAGTGCACTCTACATTTATGACCTACGGGTTTGCACGGTTCCGGGCTACAGGTAGGTTGATTGTGAGCCCGGTTTGAAGTCGGACACGCTCGGTTGGGGTAATATGGGGTGAGGTTCTGGAATCAGGATTTACAGTAGTTTTATGGCTCGGGTCGGGGTGATACTGCAATCAATTCCCAACGTTGATGAAAACCCTCCTATGTCCACCTTTCATGATCTTGGCCAATTCCTGCCAGCAGGTTGAGTCGGCCGATTCCAATTCCAATTCCAGCTGCACATTCAATACTAGCGCGCGCCGCCGCTATTCTTGCCGAAGCTTGAACGCTTTGTTTTCTGACCGAAGGATCCAACCTCGGTAGGCGGATCGTATTAATATCCATCGGTAGATCAGTTCATTAAGATACCTTCGTTTAGTTTCAGCAAGATCAACTTGCCAAAGGACGCATGGTCTGGCACGTGTCGGGCCAGGCTCATCAAACACCATCAGCCAGCGGAGAGCGGCGACCTGCCGGCCACGGCGAGACCTGGATAGCCCTTCCCCTGGCCCTCGTGCACTGTTGTAGTGTTCCGGAGCCTACAGTTCCATAAAAAAATGGCACTTGCAACTTCGTAAAATGTGGCCAGATTTGGATGTTAATGCCCACCATCTCCATACGTCGTCATCAGTCGCTGCAGCCATGCTGATGGGCTCCTCCATGTCTACGCCGGCCGTGGCATGAAAGTAAACAAACAGCCGCGAAGCTCATATGCCAAAATCCTAGACCCTGGGCGTCGATCAACCCTTGACTGATCTCTAAGTGCCTTGACCGCCAAATCTGCGAACCTTCGGATTCCGGAAGATTCCAGATTCAACCCCAAACAGTTAGAGTACCTACTCAGCTACGAAGTCTGCCAATGTAGACCCCACTTAAGCCCTACTTGGGCAGTAGGATCGAAATTCCCACATCGCAACCTCTGCGCAGCGAAAACCGAACCGAAGTCCCTCCAGGTGCTCCTTGAGGTGGAGAAAAATGCACTGTTATTCCTATGCTCATATTAATGGTTGGTCAGTTGGGCATACATATTTCGTTGCTGCTTTCCCGTCGTAAGCAAAAAACCAAAGCCCCTGGGCGCCTGAAACCCTAAACGCTAAACCCTACACCCCAAAACCCTAGACCCTTAAACCCTTAAACCCCTAAACCCTAAAACCCTAAAGCCCTAAACCCTAAAGCCCTAAACCCTAAACAACCCTAAACCCTGAAACCCCTCAGCGACTCCGATCTGAGCCCTGCGCCATAGGAGACTCCTCACTCAGAGTCTCTGGCGACATCCTGCCGTTGTGGTTGCGTGTCGGGTTCAGGCTCCAGGGCTTAGATTATACCGTAAAAACCTACCAAACCCTACTTTTTTGTAGGCTCTTACTATAAACCCTAAAATGAAATTTATAGGGACCCAACAAGAAAGTAGGTTTGGGTAGGTTAGGCGTTAGGGTTTACGAATCTGCATTTGTCGGAGGCGAATCATGGCAGGAGTTTTTGGGCGGACCTGGGCTCGAGATCAGGAGGTTCAGGGTTTAGGGTTGCAAGGCTTGATGGGCTCCTCCGTGGAAACATGGCAGGTTGCGAGGAAAGGGTTGCGACCCAGAGATCCCACTACCCCTTAATGAAGGAATATACCTGAAATTATAGATGCCTTAATCGTAAGATTTAAGGTATATTCCTTAATTAAGCGGTATTGGGTTCTCTGGGGACAGCAAGGGTGCCGACCAGACCAAGGGCCGCACGCAGGGGAGGACTGCGGCGAAGGCCGCGGTCGTCGAGGCGAAGGAGTCCGCATCTGCGAGGCTTGAGGGTGATTGTGGCTTTTCCCAAACGGTCCTAGGTACTGTCATCGCATGGGGGATACTTCCCCAAATCATAGTAGTCAATCCTTATACTATATAGAAACCCGACATTCGACAGTTCTACTATATAAGTACGTTGGACCTTTGGGTTTGTCGTGTGGGGTGGCGGGAGGGGGGTGGGTCAGGGCTTGAGGGTGTTGGGGTTACGGGTTAGGATTTCAGAGTTTGGGGGTCTACATGGGAGTTTCCGAAAATAGGGGACCCTAATATGGAACCCTAAATAGTAGGATCCTTATTGTAAGGACCCCCCAAAAAGGGTATCCCTATAATCGGAAACCCCCACAGTAGTTCATGATTTAAACTTTTAGAGGTTCACTCCGATACTGGTGCCGAGAGGTTGTATGTTGGGGCAAATTGCAAAGCCTAAAAGGTCGCCTTCGAATGCAGTAATCAAACAGTAGGCCCCCTGCATAAAGTATCTCCTACAGTAACACCTCTAAGGACCGCAGAGGCAGCACACCTTGGATGATGAAAGTCCTCACCGTGAGTCATACGAAAGTATGTCAACCAGGAATAGACACCATGCACTGAGCCTAAACCCCACACCCCCAAACCTAAGTCCCTATCCCGACGCCCTCGAAACCCCTTAAGCATTTCCAGAACAAAACAACAAAGCTTGATGCCGCAGGAGTCTCATGACATGACAACATACACCGAAACCCTATTCTATTTGTTAAGGCGCCTCTACTACACTCTTATACTAAATCTCTGAAACTTAAACTCTATCAATATCCTAGGTTAGGGAACCCCATTCTACTTTCCCTAAAGCCTTCAAGGAACCCTTCTCAAGAACCCTGAAAGGAACGCTTAGAAGAACCCTGAAAGGAAGCCGTTAAAGGGTTTAAACCGTTCAAGGAACCCTTTAAAGGGAAACCCCTACAGGAACTTTCAAAGAACCCCAAAACCCTATAGTGCTCTTTTTTCAGGATTCCTTTCTAAGGGTTCCTTGAAAAACCCTTTGTTTAAAATAATTTTTAAAGGACACCGCTGAAGGAACCCTTTACCCCTTCAAAAGAACCCTTTCAAGGAATCCTCAAAGCAAAACCCTGTAAACAGAACCGCACTGGAAGACCCCTTCCCACTGCACTCCAAGGGTGCGGCTGCACGTGGTGCCATGGGAGGCGTGCGGGGTGTCCGCCTTTGGCATTTCGGGTGTCTGGGGACTAGGGTTTGGGGGCTTAGAGATCAGGGAGGGTGTAGGGGGTTTCATGTACGTAGGGGAACGAATGTCAACTAGATAGGCGACCGGGCCTTCTCAGGGGGTGTTTACAGGACTGAGGCAATAAAACAAAACCCACACCAGTCGGCAGCGGCTGCCACCACGAAGTCGAAGATATAAAAGAACCGATAATTAAGATGGCGGCATGAAGCGCCTTTCTCCTAGAAGCAGTCCGAACATCTAAGGAACATCCCTTGCAACATGTGATGCTTGGTTGCAAAGAAGCCGTCCAGCTTGGTCAAAAGAAGTGGCTAGTAAAATATCGTCGCCGCCATACAGTTGATTGAACAGTTTCTTCCAGCTTCCCGAGTCATCAACCCACTGGATCCATGTATCTTCTGAGATTTTCCAGTGGGCAACAAGGAAGCCCAAGAAGTGCTCGACGGTTCTGCCCGAAGAGTTCGGCAGAGTAGCTGGAGCCTTGCAGAAGGCCTCGAAGAAATTTTTGTTGCCAAGATTCACTCTTAGATGAGGCAGCTGCGGATCCAACTACAGGTACAGCCCCCTCGAACCCAGAAAACAGCTCCAGCTGGGGGACTGAGCTCTGAACGCCAGTCTACATCCAACAGTTTAGGCCTTCAGCTACTACTGCGGTTTACCCCAACACTTTCTTCTAAGCTGTACATCCGCTTTCCTCAGCAGAGGGTAACTTGGGCTGTCTGCTTAGACCCTACAACCCTAAACTCCCAAAACCTGAAGCCCGAACACCCCCAAACGCCCAACCCCCGAAACCAAAAACCCATAGTAAGTCCCTTGACATCCGTGATCGTGAACTCGCCCTATACATCCCAGAAACCTTCACTAGCCCCACAAGCCGTGAAAGCCGAGAGCCCCCCATACACCCCAAAATCATACTTGGAGGTCCATGGGTACTCAGACATGGAGTTATAAGTAGGTTAGCTATAATCATAACCCATCCTGAGGGACTGAGAACTCCATTTACAACTACCAATGTACCTCAAAGTAAAACCCTAAAGCCCTAAACCGTTGATGCGACCCTAAACCCTAAACCCTTCGACTGCGGGGTTCGGGCAAAGAAGGTGCTCCCGTCACTGAATGCGGCCGTCGGCGGGGAGACCCTGGTAGGTTTAGGGCTTTCAGGGTGTGGGGTTTAGGGCTTTAGGATTTTGAGGTTAGGACTTTCAAGGTTAAGGGTGGGCAGCCGCGCACATCAAGTTTCAAATCACAATTTTGCCGAAAAGCTTAGAAGCTATAGATTCTCCAGTAACCCCTTAATAATAAGGGTGCGCATATTCAAGCAATGTGTTGCAAAGGAGACCCGAAAATGAAAAAGGCAAAAGGGTACTACGCAGGCACCTAGAGAAACAGTATGTTCGGCAGGTCGTTCGCACAAGGTAGAAAAATTGGGGCGAGGAACCATCGATGCTCCGCTGTCTCCACATCGCGCGGGTCCAAATCCCAAGACCCGAAACCCAAAACCCTAACCCTAAACCCTAAAACCCAAAACCCTGAACCCCAAAACCCCACAAACCTCAAGCCCTGAACCTTGAAGCCTGAGCAAAGAGCCTTCAATCCTAGGCCCAAGCCCCAAACCGAAACCGTGGCATAAGTTTATAAAGCCTTATCGAAATCCGCACGAAAAGCCTGCAGTACGTTTGTGTTCATTTTTCCTCTGCTATCTGCAATTTACTATGTTCAATAAAGTACAATGCAAGACTGTAATTAACACAACGACAAAAACATAGTAGATCATAGAACATACACAGAAATCTTATGGTGTATAATGCGACGTTTACGTGTGCATGTGTACATAAACGTCTACACATGCATACATATGCATGTACATCTGCAGTCAATTTTAAGTTATAGATATTATTCTATATAAGGTATAAGATATAACCTATAATATATAATATAAATAAAACAGTATAGCATATGTAATATATATATATATATATATATATATATATATATATGTATATATATATATATATAGATATATAGCATATAATATATAGTATATATAATATTTTATAGAATATAAAGCATTATATTATATTATTATTATTAGTAGCTATGCATGCTTACATACATACACACATACATACATGCATAGATGGGAGTTTCCGAAAACAGGGGGCCCTAATGTAGTAACCTAAGGTAGTTGGATCCGTATTCTAAGGTACCCTTAATTTCTGAAAACTCTCATGTATACATACAGACGTCCCTAAACCCTGAAACCCTCCAAAGCCCAATAAAACCCTACCAAGGCCTAAACCCTACACTCTTCACCCTAAAATGTATGTGTGTACCTAGACCCTCCATCTACCCTCCATTAGACCCTTCTGTGGGACCATACACCCCTATTTGAGTGTACAAGGAGGGTCCTGGTAAAATCGCCTCGGCGCCCCGGCCGAAGCGGTCAGAGGTTCCTATTCGGATTCCCTCTATTCCCACCTCTTAATCCCCTCCCCAGTGACCCCACCCCCACGGCCACTGGCCCCCCCCCCCTTAAAAATGGAAACGTGTCGATTAGCCCCAAGGTGGTGGTGAATTCACACCTCCTCCACTAGATTTTAGATTTTGGCTGTCTGTGGCCAGTCCCACCCAATTTCCTCCTTTTCGCCCCCACACCCCTGCCCCCCCCCCTGCCCCCCCCCTGCCCCCCCCCTGCCCGCCCCCCTGCCCCCCCCCGACCACCCCCCGCTCCCCCCTGCCCCCCTCCAGGCAAAGTTTTTTTTAGGCAGCACAGCACGCGGCTCCACGACCTAACCTTCTCATAGCATCGGAGATTCAAGCATCGCTATCGCCAGCTAGGGGCTATGTCGAATATCAGGCACAGAACGCGGAGATGCTACAATGGTTACATCAACCTCTTGCTGGCTTCTTGAGACAAACCCTCTGCCTTACGCTGCTCTGCCCTGCTTTGCCCTGCCCTACAATTAATACAAGTGCGATTCCAACTGTTGTTATTTTCGTACAAGAGCTTCCTGCTGCGCCGGATGGTAGCCAGTCGCCGCATGCGCGAAAAGCCGGGCCGAGGCGGACGACGCGAAGCGTTTCAAATTACCACGCATCGGGTTCGGGCCTGGGCTCGGCTCCGGCGAGAGGCTGCGGCCCTCTGAGGGGCTGGAGCCCTGGCTCCCGGGCACTGTAGAATAAAGGGAGGTGTAGGGTTTAGGGCTTAGCGGCGCTCAGGGGCTTTTGGTTTAGGGTTAGGTTTAGGGTTTAGAGGTTTAAGGTTTCAGGGTTTGGGGTTTTTGAAAAAAGGAGATTTAAGGTTTAAGGTTCAGGGGATAAGGGTTTGGAGTTTAGGCAGGGTTGAAGGGTTTTTAGCTTTAAGGCTCTATGGGCTTTGTGGTTGTGGATGGTTCCCTAAGGCTTCATTGGCGTTTAGGGGTGCCATGGGGTGGCGGATTTTTAAGTCTACTACGGTTTGTCCTTTAAATCGATTATGTGGTTTGATGGAGTTGCGGTTGGGATATGTAGGTTTGCTAGGCATTGTCGGGTTTCACTGTTTGTACCATTTTCGTACACAGAAACCCTATCATAAGGAGGGCGTTTGCATGGAACTCATCTTAAAGAGCCCTGAAGGTGCAAAATCATTAAGGTTCTGATGAACCCAAAAGCCAGTGCAGGAAAACGAACCCTCGTGAACTTTGAAAAAACGCTAGATCGCATAACGGTTTTCAACCACCCGCCGGTGCTTGCAGCTCTAGGAATAGCTGTGAAGCTCGCACGTGGAAGCGGGTGATTCCAGCAGCCGCCGTCCCGGACGTCGCTCCAATTATGTCCGCAGCGCTTGCATTGTCTGACGTCTACCGGAGACATGTCATTTGGGTCCTGGTTTTACGGGTCGCCGTCTTTCTTCCACCAAGAGGGACCTCAGAGATCAGATGCTCGATCAAGAGCCCTGCTCCATGCAAGGTACCTTGGCTGACGGACTACCACGTTCGTAAAACTGCCATAAGGACCGCGATGAACGAATTGAGTATGGAGAGAACCCTGAATGTCGTCGTGTGGGTTGGCATTCAACGGGGTTGAGCCGGAAGAGGTCACATTCATAATGACCACTAGCCTTAGGCGCAAATACATCCTGGGTAACTGTACCAACATCTTGAGAAGGTGACCCCATTGGAGTCCCATCTCTCCCCAACTAGAGGGCGCCATGGGACTACAGTGGCTGCTACGCAAAAGCTGGAGCCACTAATCATGAGCATACCCTTTTGCATGATATTCTGTTTAAGACATTATTAGGAGACACCAAAGTCGAAAGGGCAAGAGGGTACTACTCGGGAACCTAGGCCTGGACCTGCACCCTAGGACTTGTATCCCTCCCACTTCTCCCAGCCCCAGCTGAAACTTAACCAGCCGTCCTGAGCGATAGATAACTGCAGACTTGCACACAACTAAACACAAGACTCTGAAAATCCTAAACCCTAAACGGCCCTAAACCCTAAACCCCTAAACAACAATTCTGAGATTGATAGGCTTTGAATTCCTTAAACGCTGCTTTTCGGGTTAACAAGTTCATCCCAAAGGGTGCATGTGCCCAAATAGTATATACCTAGAGGCTCCAAGGTAGTTCCTTTTTGGGGTTCATATATAGAATCCTATGAGGTAATCCCAAAAGGGAATACTGTGGAGCCTCTGGGTACTTTGGCCTTACAAGTTGTAACTATTTTGGTACTTCAGGGCTAAAGGACTTGGACCCTTGGGGAATGAGAATGGGGATAGAATACCGGGGACATGAAGAAATTTTACGACGGTCTATGAGAACCTCACCTTCGCAACCCTAAGCCCTAAACTCATAGGGACCCTTTGGGGGGTAGGGGGAAAAGGGTCGGGGACTATACTTCCTTAAATAGGCCTTACTAAACCCTTGGTACCCCCCCTCCACCCGACCCCCCCAAGGGTCCCTATGATAAACTTCTGCAACTCGGATCCTGAAGGCTTACCGGTGCATCAAACCTACTGTTTTTGAGGCTTCGAACCCATAGGTGTAGTGTAGGGCCATACACCGCCATATTTCGAGGGTTTGTAGCACAGATAGGGATGAGGATGGAGGACACAGTCGAGGAGTCTTGTGTTTCATGCGCGGCTTAAGGGCCCCAACATGCTATGGAACTTCAGTCTCCAAGCCCTAAGCCCTTAACACTAGCATCTTCGAGCTTTACGAAAAAAACATCTTCGATCTTTGCGAAAAGAAGCCAGAACTCCCACGTCAACACCCGTGTAAGTGATTTCAAAAGCTTGTAGATGCACCCTTAACCCCTAAACCCTAAATGCCAGGAAGCTTAGTACCTTAGGATAGCAACCCCTAAGCCCTCTAAGCCCGAACCGCCCGACTTGCACCAAACCTCTTCGCCGCTTTGCTCGAAGGTCACCGACAGCCTGTGGCGGCTTAAAAGTTCTTCCACGGCTCAGGGATGCAGGTCCCCAGACCTTCCAACATCCCTTAATTCAGGAATGTACCTTAAATCATATTAGGGATCCTAGTATAATTTAAGGTATATTTCTTAAGCGGCTCAGGGATGCAGGTCTAACGGTTTCGGGCTCAGCGTTTAAAGTAAAAGCCAGAAAGTTGGAATATGATTATCCTAAGCCCTTTATGGTAAGTTATAAGGTATCCTAGCCTGAAACCATATTCCAACTTTCTGGAGTTCCCTTTAGGGTTTCGGGTCTGTCATGCTCCCCTCGTTTGCTGGGGGTCGAGTCTCGGGCCTCGGGAGAGTTTAGCTAGGATTTAGGGTTTAGGGGTTTAGGGGCTTAGGGGTTTAGGGTTTAGGGTTTAGGGGTTTAGGGTATTTAGGGTTTCGGGGCTTAGGGTTTAGGGTTTATCATTTACTTGTTTTGTTCGGGCCCTGCATATACAGAAACCGAAACCCTGACATCCATATGCACACCCTTTCTTGGTCGCAAGGCCGTCTTACTTGAGTTGAAGGTCCAACAAAAGGTCGCCCTAAACCCTAAACCCTAAACGGTGAACGCGCGTTCTACGGCTCAGGGCTGGCTTGCTTGAGTTGCAGGCGAAAAACAGGTGCGATGTAATGATCACACGGCCGATGCTGACATAGCAGATAAACCTAAACCCTAAACCGTGTAAATGATGTCTCACAATTTCAAAAACCCCTCCAGGCCTCTCAGCCCTCCTTTCCTAGACCCCAGAACCATACACACTCTTAAACCCTAAAACCCTAAAACCCCTGAACCCTAAGCTATACTGAACTTACAACCCTAGAAAAAATTAGCTGTTTCTTAGGGGTTATAATAACAAAAAGTTAAAAACTATTTCTAAGTACCCCTAAGTAAGACCCTGCTTCAGCGACAAATCTGGACTTGACACGATGGGACTTCGAGGGTCCCCAGTAAATGCAGCTCTTGCCCTTAACCTACAAGCCCTACCCAAAGGCCCCAAAGTAGTTCCTTTTTGGGGTTCGTATATCGAATCCTATAAGGTAATCCCAAAAAGGAACTAACGTACACCTTAAGCCGGAATAAGCTACCTTTTTAGGGTTCCTTACTGTGATTTCCTTGTATAAGTCCTGAAAAAGGTAGGTTATTCTGGCTTAAGGCAAGCCGTAAAGCCTACCCTTCTAGATTCCCCAGTAGCCCCGTCATAAGTAGGAAGGGTACGCTGTTTTGGGAGCCCGAAAAGAATAGCTGCACAAGGGTTGTACTAGGTGACCTAGTCTTTAGAGCTTCCTAAATCCAAAACCCTTAAACCCCTGAACCGTAAACCCTGAAGCCTTAAACCGCCAAAGGACACCGTCAGCCTCGAACCATGTAAACACCCTGAAGCTGAGACCCACCCCCAAACCTCAAGAAGCCTACCTTCTTGTGGTTCCTTAATGGTCTGATCCCCACTTCTGATCACGTGTTTATATATATATATATATATATATATATATATATGGGTAGTTGTCAAAATTATGGCCCCTTTTTGGGTACCCTAAATATTAGGCACCGTACGATAATAAGGACCCCAAAAGGGCACATAATCTTGACAACCACCCATATTATATACCTATCTATGTCCACGTCCTTCAAGATGTAGGGTTTTTGGGGTTCTGGGGTTCAGGTAAGCCGTACTGCCCCAAACCTCTGAGTGTCTGACGGCTCTGCCCGGATCATCTGCAGATGCAGTGGCGGAATGCCGAAGGGTGGATGCCCTGACTTGTAACTGGAGTTTAGAGGTTGTGGGTTTGAGGGTGTGGGGTGTTGGGGTGTTTAGGGTGCTCGGGTGTTCGGGCTTTACAGATTCATGTGGGTAGTTGTCAAAATTATGGTCCTTTTTTGGGTACCCTACATATTAGGTGCCGTATTGTATTAGGGACCCAAACAGGGACCCCAATTTTGACAACCACCCATGTAGCCCGGAAACTCCGCAAAAAGTAGGTTAGGACTCTTGGGCTTCCAGGGTTCAGCTACTATAGGTCCTGACCCCACAATCGGGGCGCACGTTATAACCCCTGAAGACCTGAAAACAGTAGATTTCTGGAGCCAAAGGCATGGGATTTCAAGCTGTACGGACTTTGGTTCAGGGCTCAACCCTAAACCCTAAACCCCCTAAAGCCCTAAGGTTTTTTTTATTTTTAAGCTCCTTTTTGATGTCCGCAAGAGCCCTAAGGTTTAGAGCTTGAGGCTTCTGTGGGCGTTGGGAGCCCAGGGACTCCAAGCCCCAAGTAGGATGGCCTTGCAAAGCCCTGACCAGGACCTTCTACTCCTCCTGGGTCCTGTAAAGGGTGTTGTTAGGATTCTCTGAGGGAAAAGCCAGAAAGTTGGAATATGATTCTCCTAACCCTTCTATGGTAAATTATAGGGTATCCTACCATGAAACCATATTCCAACTTTCTGGAGTTCCCTGTAAGAGGATTGAAAAGGTGCGATAAGGGCTCAGTACAAGGGCCAGCACAGCGCCATACGCTCTGCAACGCCCCAAGGTGTCGGGCATTTATGCGCTGCGTTTGCCGGGTGTTGGGCTTTAAGCGGTGTCGTCTTTAGTCTTGGAGTTTTTGTAAATAAATCGAATATGTGTTTCAACAAAGCTTCGTGGAAACGTGCTGCAGAAACTGAGACAGTTACATTAGTTGAGTAGCGGGCTGCATGGGCAGATGGTGGTCGCTAGCCCAGGCATCGGATTACTAGTCGGGATGTTGTGCCTAGAGCCTACTTAAAGGATCATGGGACTTAGTAATTGGGGCTATAAGTAAGGTAACTACAGTTGTAATTACATATAACCGTAATTAAGGTACTTATAACCCTACTTACTAAGTCCCATGACCCTCCAAGCAGGCAAAGGACCGATAAAGCAACACCTGCAACTTCAATCGTTAAAACCTTACCCCAAAAACCCCTATAGAACCCTGTAAGGCAATACTATACTAACTTAGAACCCTAGCAACAAATATAATTGTAGCTGTTTCTTAGGGATTATAATAACCAAAAATTGAAAATATATTTCTAAGTAGCCCGAAGAATAGAGCCAGAACACGCACGGCTACATCCTGAACCTTCGGAGCTACTCATGTTGGCTTTCAGAAAGTCGAATTGCCAAAGGCTGACAGTTGGTGTCGAAAGTATACGGAGTGTAACAAGGGTTGTGTTGGGATTGTAGAGGACTACATAGGAGCTGAACTACATCGAAAAGGCTCAAGGTCACTAGCAAGGCAGCTACTGAACAGAACCACAAAAAGATCCCGCCTGCTCTGTTGCACCCCAACGGCTGGATAGGCGCAAGAGGACTCTCCTGCATACGCCCTCAACCCTATACCCTAAACACCCACGGCCCTAACCCCGAAACCCTATGCAGGTCAAGAAGCATTGATGGGTTATGGGTTCCGGGTCATAACATCCCGGAAACCCACAGCACAAAACCATCAAAAGCTACAGCTGTTGCCAGTGTAGAGTGTAGGGCTTAGGGCTCATAGCCCTAACAGCACCCTGACACCCGAAAAAACTGGCGACCCCTGCAAGCTCAAGTTTTTGACCCTACATACCTTGCAATGAAGAGGGATTCTTAGCATGCTTTGAAGATTACTGCTCATGTACCTGGCCTTGGGGTCTCGAAAGACCCTACACAGCGGCCAACACAATCTTAATCTAGTTGTTCTTTTGAGGGGGGGCGGGGGCGGGGGACTCGGACTCTCTGACACGACACCCAAGCCAGGCAGAAGGCCAAATAGAAACTCGATGCAGAAGGCTCTGTTTTCAAGACTCCCACATGCGAGTCTCTCGCACTGGCCTTAGGTACATACAGCCACAAGTTCCTGTACAGCCCCGGATGAACTAAACACCGAACACCCTGATAAAACCTTATAGCAACCACTTCTACAACCCTGTCTAGTGACCCCAGGACGCGCAAAAACCATATACCCTGAATTCTAATAGGTGCACTAGAGACACCCCAACCTGAACCCCAAACCCTTATTCAAACATTACAATAACCAACCCGGAAAGGCCAATACCCCTTAATTCATTGGGTAATACGGCTTAAACCATCATGTGAAGACCCTCATCATTTCGAGGTAAAAATTCCTATGTTAAGGGTCTCTGAGAATATGGAACCTGAAGGCACCCTTTGACTACTAAGAGCCCTTGATTTTATCTTTGTGGAACCCCTTAGAGCAGTCACATGTGCCCTTATAGAACCCTCATAATACCCTAAACCCTAAACCCTAATCAGGACCCCCATACAGTAACAGTCTAAAATAGGGCTACTATTAAGGGCCTTATATCTATATTATGAATATTATCCAGCTGTTGCTGAGTGGGGGCCGTACCCAACATAAACCCTAATCATGACCCCCCGGAGTGCCTCCAGCTCTACGAGGGCCGGGCTGCTGTCATAGTGAGCGCTGTGCGTCACCAGTTCGTCGGCGGCCTCGGGGATAGAAGGGTCTTAGGGTCTCTGGGTGTAGGGTTTTAGGGTTTAGGGGTTTAGGGTTTTAAAATTTAGGGTTTAGGGGTTTAGGGTTTTAGGGCTTAGGGGTTTAGGGGTTTAGGGTTTTAAAATTTAGGGTTTAGGAGATTAGGGTTTAGGGCTTTTAGGGCTTAGGGGTTTCAGGGTTTAGGGGCTCTAGGGTTTAGGGTTTAGGGTTTAGGCTCTAGGGTTTAGGGTTTAGGCTCTAGGGTTTAGAGGTTCCGGTTTAGAGTTGATCATCAGCATTTGTCGTTAGCTGTGTTCAGGGTCTCTGCCTGTTTGTTGAAGCAAGTTGTGCGCCCTGCTCGTGTGGTCCTGGTAGACTGCGCACGCCAAACAACAACGAAAACCTGGCAACTCCACGATACCACGAGTTGCCCAGGAGCCGATGGCGATCCTTATCGCAACTTTTGGGGCTCGAGGTAAAATCAGGCTCGTCATGGTGAAGCCTTTCTTTTGTCCTCACTGTGCAGTCGAAGTTCGAGCCAGAATAGTGCAGCTTGATTGATACTTTGCGACAGGGCTGTTGGCTCTGTTCAAGTAAGAGCCTATGAAGAAACCCTTACAAGGAAGCGTATTCTGTGTAAGTACTAGTCAATCATTAAGGCTCCTTTGTTAAAGATCATGCTAAGACTGACTCCAAGATTCGGGGTATGGGGCTGTCGGGGTTATAGTTTAGGGTTTAGGGCTTGGGGCTCCCTCAGAGACTCCAAAACCCCGTACTAGGCAACTGACGACCTTGAATTTTGTATAGAGCGAACCTTGATATGGGTGGTTGTCAAAACTGAGGTCCCTTTTTGGGTCCGCTAAATAGGTGCCCTATTATAAATAAGGACCCAAAATGGGACCCTGATTTTGGCAACCACCCATATGGGTTCAGGTATCATCCTTAGTGTAAGGGGTTTTGGAGCAGGTTCGAGGATCCGTTAGGGCCCCCAAAGGCACATAAGCAAAAATTAGGACAGGGATATCCCATATAAACCCCGTTATAATGAAGCCCAATAAGGTGAGGATATCCCCATAAAATGCTTATGCTTATGTGCTTTTTGGGTCCCGAATCCATGAGTTCTGAGGAAGACTGGATGTTTGAACGTCCTGCGAGCTTAATAATAAGGGGTCTTGGGTTTAAGGTCACAAGGTGTTCAGTGCTTCCCGGTTCGGACTTTTGGCTCTTTAACTACTTACGTAGTTTATGCTAATTTGGGGGATTTACTACATTGCTCGACAGACTCTCCTGTCCCAACCAAGACATTCCACTGGGCTGTTCGCACTTGTTTCGTTCGCGTCCCGGGCGGGTCTGTGGTCTTTTCTGGAAAGTCTTTCAGGGTTCGCCTCTTTTGCCCTACAACTTGTAGGCAAGGACCCGACAAAGCTGGGTTTAGGTTCTACCACGCGCCGAACCCGAAGCTTGCAGAGATAATCCGAACCGACCGCCAAATCAATCAAGTTCTGGCCCTCAAATTCCAGCCGATTCTAGCCCTACATCCCTAGACCCTCCATCTACCCTCTATTGGACCCTAAATGCCTCTTATTTGGGACCATATACCCCTATTTGAGGGTACAAGGAGGGTCCTGGTCTAGAACCTAAATATTCAGGGCTCCTCAGTCTGACTCTCTTCTGATTTGCCCTGAAACATGATATAGGGGCCTTAATATTGGGGGTGTTCTCTACCATCATTTACTATGGGATTTGCGCTACCCACCCTGGGCCCTCAGTTACCGCTCCGTTACAGCTCCGTTACAGCTTCCGTTACAGCTCCGCTGCAGGTCCGTTACAGCTCCGTTGCAGGTCCGTTACAGCTCCGCTACAGCTTCTGCTACAGCTCCGCTGCTGCTCCGTTACAGTTTCCGTTGCAGCTCCGTTGCAGGTCCGTTACAGCCCCGCTACAGCTTCTGCTACAGCTCCGTTACAGCTTCCGTTACAGCTCCGCTGCAGGTCCGTTACAGCTCCGTTGCAGGTCCGTTACAGCTCCGCTACAGCTTCTGCTACAGCTCCGTTGCAGCTCCGTTACAGTTTCCGTTAAAGCTCCGTTGCAGGTCCGTTACAGCCCCGTTACAGCTTCTGCTACAGTTCCGTCATAGCTTCCGTTGCAGCTCCGCTGCAGATCCGTTGCAGGTCCGTTACAGCTCCGTTGCAGGTCCGTTACAGCTCCGTTACAGCATTCTGCTACAGCTCCGTTACAGTTTTTTTACAGCTTCCGTTACAGCTCCGTTGCAGGTCCGTTACAGCTCCGTTGCAGGTCCGTTACAGCTCCGTTACAGCTTCTGCTACAGCTCCGTTACAGCTCCGTTACAGCTTCCGTTACAGCTCCTTTGCAGGTCCGTTACAGCTCCGTAGCAGGTCCGTTACAGCCCCGCTACAGCCCCGCTACAGCTTCTGCTAAAGCTCCGTTACAGCTTCCGTTACAGCTCCGCTGCACGTCCGTTACAGCTCCGTTACATTTTTCTGCTACAGCTCCGTTACAGCTCCGTTACAGCTTCCGTTACAGCTCCGCTGCAGGTCCGTTACAGCTCCGTTGCAGGTCCGTTACAGCCCCGCTACAGCTTCTGCTACAGCTCCGTTACAGCTCCGTTACAGCTTCCGGTACAGCTCCGTTGCAGGTCCGTTACAGCTCCGTTGCAGGTCCGTTACAGCTCCGTTACAGCTTCTGCTACAGCTCCGTTACAGCTGCGTTACAGCTCCGTTACAGCTCCGTAGCAGGTCCGTTACAGCTCCGTTGCAGCTTCTGCAGCTCCGTTACAGCTTCCGTCACAGCTCCGTTACAGCTCCTTTACAGGTCCGTTACAGCTCCGCGACAAATCCGTTACAGCTTCACTACGTTCCGTTACAGTTTCTGTTGTAAGCCCCGTTGCCGGCACGGAGTCGCCAGGGTTTCTGTCATAGTAGATGCCTACAAATGATGGTAGAGAACACCCCCAACCTTAATAAGTAGAGTAGGGTTTTGGGGCCCATCATACCATAATTATAATAAGGAACCCCTAAAATAGTATTGCTAAATATTTAAGCCCCTATATTATACAAAAGGCTTTGGACACCCGAAACGAAACTCAGCTTTGCTCTCAGCCATGGGCGCTTTGCACGTCTTCCCGGATCCTTTGGAGGGTCTCGTGCAAAGAGCCCAGCCTTGCCAAAAGGCGGTACTTCATCCCCCAAAGGGTCCTTTGTACTGTTATGGGGGATACTTCCCTAAGTCCTATTAGTAATTCCTAATATGGGAACCCTACATTCTACTATATCGGTACATAGGACCCTTTGGGTCCATCTGAGACCCCAAACCGAACAACTATATATCACTGGTCAAAAGCTACTTCAACGATATGTGTGGCGTGACTGGACTATGTGCAAACAGCCCAACCTAGCCAAGGCGTAGTTTGAGGGGTCATAGTTCAATCGCAAATCTTTATACCCCCCCTGAAGGCCCTAAACTAAACCCAAGACCGAACCAGTTAAAACCGATATACTCTTCGAAACTTACTTCGACGATATGCGCGGAGTGTCTGAACCCATGTGCAAGGAGCCCAGCCTTGCCAGTGGTTTTTGGTGTTGAATGCTTGCGATAAGCACACACAGACATCCGTCCATCCTTCCATCCATCCATCCATCCATCCATGCGTACATACATAGAACACCCAATCCTAAACCCCAAGCGGCTAACCCCCAAGGGCCTAAAGCCTAAGCACCCCAAACCCTCAACCCTAAACCCCTAAACCCCTAAACCCAAAGCCCGAAACCCTAAACCCTAAACCCCAAACCCCTAAACCCTCAACCGGGGTTCGGGCGACATGTTCGCAGCATCTCGCCTCGGCCAAAATAGGATCATCTCTCGTGCTCTGGGGCTCCAAGGACCGGTCCCAATGTAGGGGCCTTAGTACTTAGAATAGGGGGTTCCTTTGAAGGGGTCTTTAAAGGGGTCTATAAGGGATCCATAAGGGTACTACAGTATAGAGGCCTTAATAATTAGAATAGGGTTTTGGGGTATAATGTACTGTAGTTATAGTTATAACAAGAGCCCAGGGGCCTTAAAAATTAGACTAGGGTTTTGGGGTATAATGTACTATAGTTATAACAAGGAGCCCCCAAAATAGTATAGGCAGTTGTTTAAGCCCCTGTATCATCAGGGCTCCCCTAGGCCCTAGACCTTCCAAAATCCCTGAATTAAGGAAGTCACCTTTAAATAAAGTAGGAATCCTCTTCTGGCTTAAGAATTTGAAGTATCCCCAAGGGTCCAAAGGACCTAATAATTAGGTACTCGGTTTTAGGATAGTAGTTATGTAGGTTAGGGTTTTGGAGAGTATATGATTCTTAGGTACTTGGACCCTTGGGGTATATTCCTTAATCAAGGGATTTGAAAAGGAGCTCCTATAAGGGTCTCCTGTTCAGGGGATACGGGTCAGGGCTTCAACGAATCGATATAGGGCTTGGGTTTTCGGGAACGCTGTTAGCTCGAAAAAGCCGAAACCTGATTTCAGAATCGCAGGGCTTGTATCTCAAAGCGCACAAGAAGAGGTCGGCCATTAGGATTCCCTAGGCACCTAGTATGTTGGAGTAAACTCCGAGTATAAATATATAAATATATATATATATATATATATATGTATGTGTAAATATACATATGTACATATATATATACATATATATATATATATATAAACATATGTATGTATGTATATGTGTGTATATATATATGTGGATATCTCTCATACATATGATCCCGGTTCTCGGTTCGCCGACCCCTCCCCCCGACGACCAACCAAAGAATGATGAAGATGGTGACCATCGTCCCCATCATCATTATCATCATAGGGATAAGTATACCAAACGCCCGAAGCAGACCCAAAGACGCAGGGGGTAACCACCGCACACACGACAGGGAGGGGAGAAGCAATAACTACCACACCACACCACACCACAGGGACGGGGGTGAACCACGGGTGGGGGAGGGGGCGGGGGTGTCGGCCGAACCAGGATCTTACATATATATATATATATGTATATATACATGTGTGTATTTCTGTATAGCGACATACAGATATGTTGGCAGTAGTGGATGCACCGAAAGCCAGAATGGCGACCAAGGCCCAGAAGCCCCAAAGTTGCATATTCACTTAGACGGACCCCTAACCCTAAACCCCAAAACCCTTAACCCTAAACCCTTACACCCTAACACCCTAAACCTCAAACCCTCAAACCCCAAACCGGAAGCCCTTGACTGAGGTATGTGCAGGCTGGCCAACTCCGTGTGCAGTGTAGCAGCAAAGGCAGGATCCTCCTGGCAATACGAAGGAGCTTCGGGAAATTAGGGATACCGTATTTTGGGGTCCTTATAATAATTATAATATGGATCCTACTATTTCAGGTACTAGTTTAGGGTCCCCTATTTTCGGAAACTCCCATGAGGCTCTTTGGAGGGTTCTTAGCACGAGCATCTTATAGCGGCCTTGACGATTAGACCAGGCTGTTGGGGATGTCGTTTCTGATTTTAATCTAGGGACAACAAAGGATAGTATTGCTGATTTTTCAGACCGCTGTACCCGGTCCTACCTGCACCCTAAGCCCGTAAACCCCAAAGCCCAAACTCACCGAAAATTCGTCCAATAACCCTTAAAAGGATCTGACACCAGCTACTGTGCAAAACTGCGGGCTTGGGTTTGGGGCCTTCTTCGGCATCGATGGCTTTGGGGGTACATTTCATCTGCTGACCTTTAAAAGAATCCAACAGGTGCATGCAGGATCTTCGGCTTAGAGTTTACAGGGAACTCCAGAAAGTTGGAATATGGTTTCATGGTAGGATACCCTATAATTTACCATAGAAGGGTTAGGATAATCATATTCCAACTTTCTGGCTTTTACCTTATGCTTGAGAGCTTGATCTCAGTACATGCACGTGTTTCCAAATGCATTTACAGTCTTTGCTCCGGCTTTCTCTCTCATGCTGCAAGTAATGCGGGGTCAGAGGCTGAATTGGGTTTCTGCGATGGCTTGAAATTTGTGTTTGAAGGTTCGCAGTACAGGGTGCAGAGTTTGAGGTTTCGCATTTGGTGCCGGGGGTACAAGAAGGCTCTCCCACTAGACACCCCCTCCATGGGCTTTTCAGTATAGCACCAACAGCACCGAACTCCAGAGCAACATAACTTTCAAGATGGGACCTCGAAGAACCTTTCACTGATCGGAAAAATCAACATCCCAATGAATGTCGCCTGACCTCTGCATCGTCACGGCTTGCAGGGGTGGAGGAGTCTTCGTAATATCCTACTAAAACATACTGCTTTGAAGTGTCCCAATAATAACTGAGAAAGTTCTGTTCGGATAAGATACGGTATGGAGTAGGGGGTGTCGGGAGGGGTTCCCGCTATCTTGAAATCGTGAATACACACAGTATCTCTGAAACAAACCAACAAGTAGCGCAAGATCTGATGACCGTAGGTTCTTGCACTGAGTTACCAGTTACCTAAACCCTAAACCCCTACACCGCAAGCACTCAATTCAGAGCTAAGCAAAGGCTGTAGAACGCCACACCTCGAGCCTGGAAATCCGGAAAGGATTAGACGTCATGAGATCCCTAAAACCCAAAAGACCCAAACCAGATCCCCTGTAGGCCCCTTTTAAAGGACCCCTTAAAGGAAGCCCATCAAAATTGTATAGGTAATCTTTTAGGCCCCTATATTACCCTCATCTGCCTACTTGTCGGGTATCATGGGAACTAAAGAACTAAAGGTTAACCTTTTTGGTTATAATATAGGGCGTATAGAGGGACGATACTACCCCCAAAAAAATAAAGGTTCCCTACTCTACTACTAGGCAAAAGACCCGAACCCAATTATAGAACTTCAAACTCCTCATCGCCTCTGTAAGAAATCTAAACTAAACCCTAAATCCTTAAACCCTAAACACCTAAACCCTTAACCCCAAAAGCATGGGTCCTAAAAGCCTTCCGGGTAAGCCTAGACCCTGAAACCATGACAGGATGAAGCAAGCTCATTCCGGTGGTGTAGGGTTTAGGGTTTACTGGGTTTTAAGGGTCAAGGGTTTAGGGTTTAAGGCTTGCTGGATTTGAAGGTTTAGGGCTTACCTGATTTATGGGTTTAGGGTTTACTACTCAAGCAGTCTTTTGGAGCCTCAGCACAGCCGGCGCAAAGACAGTGGAGTGGCGTGGCACCACCCACGCCTTTCAGGCCTTGGGGGGAGGTTGCAAAGACGGCAAGTTTGGGGAAGTTATAGCTTGGGAAGATATGGGGGTTCGAGCTTTGGGACTTCAGGAATATGTTTTAGAGTCAGAGGGCATTGTCGAGCTGAGAGGGCTTGAGGATATGGAGTTTGGTGGGGGTTCAAGCAAGAATGTGCAAGAAGACTACGAAGAAACCGAAGATTGGGATTAGCAAGATGTGAAGTGTATCTTGCATCTGGGCCTCAGGAATGATGGAGGCATGCGGTATTGAAATCCCGATGACGAGAGGATGACCTTGCGCCTTGGTTTCGGCGGACTTCAGTTTGTGTATTGAGGGCCTTAGGCTTTTAAAGCCCTACCTCCAGCTCTTTTATACGGTGGTGTAGCGGCTTGAAATCCTAGCTGGGATGTACAAACACGTCTATGTCGTTGGCGCCCCAAGTCAAGATACATATCTTACACCAAGTTACAAATGCCTCGAACTAAATAGCCCTAAACCCTTAAACCCTAAACCCCAAAGGGTTAATGGGTACGTACTCGGCGACTATAAACTCCGGACCACCCCTAAAACACTCCTAGAGCGCCGGAGCCCGAGCCTTTCCAGAATTCAGTGGGTTTCAGTTTAGGGAGTCAGGATTTAAGGCTTAGGGTGTAGGGTAACTAGTTCCGAACCAGCTCGAAACCCAGTAAACCCCAAACAGACCCCTGCCGCATGAAACCCAAAACCCAGGATGCCCCTACCAAACCCATTGAAATCCTGCAAATCCAATGAAACTCGATTAGGTACTACAAGACCCAAAACCCCACTAAACCCCACATCCTGAACAACAAACCCATAACCCGAAAGACTACTGTAAACCCCCCTTAACGGGGTATAGACGAACCCTTCTGACTGGCCCCGGGGCTGCGCAGCTGGATGAAGGCATCCAGCACGAACCCGGCTCCTGTCGAGTCGAGGTTTTACGTTGGCAAAATTGTCGTGGGCTTTACAGTTTGTAGGGCTCGTACAAAGCTGTGAGGAATTCATTGGCGGTTCTGGGGTATCTATGGGCTGCACTGCTGGGTTTAAGATCTTGTGTAGTTGTATTTCCTGATTCGAAGCTTAATTAAGGTGTGCCTGTGGGTCCATGATCATGGGATTACCTTACCTTAACCTCCCTAGTAAGCCTCCTCAACTCATATTCTCCCTGTACATGTAAACTGCAATATATACCCTCGAACCCTACCTAAGGCCCCTACGTTCAACCCCCTACATGAAGCCGCTGCAGTCCTGAATACCACAAGAATATCAACGAACCCAAAAGAATAACCCAAAAGAATAGCATTACGGAGTCTGGAGACCCCCAGTATTTCGCTGACGGCCTGAATCTCCGTTGATGTAGTTGCCGATGCGCAAGGCCTCCTGTCGTGCATGAAGGCTCCGTAACCCAGAGCCTCCAAAACCCATTAATTAAGGAATATTCCTTAAATTATAATAGGATCCCTTATATGGTTTAAGGTATATTCCTTCATTAAGGGGTTTTGGAGGCTCTGGGAAACCCTTAACACTACAGCGTCGGGAAGGCTCGATTTATCCAAGGGTAAAAGGAGGGACCCTTAATAAGGACCCCTAGGTATATACCCTCAATATAGCTAGTATATACTCATTATATAGCGCATTATAGGGTACGGGTCCGCATTAAGGGTCCCTCCTTTTCCCCTTTTGAATTTAGGAGCCCGCACGGATCCCCAGAGCGGTTTAGAGGCTTTTGTGGGGGCTTGTAGGGTGTTGTACGTATCAAGACCTTTCCCTTGTGATTCTTAGACGAACAAGCGGACCTGCTTGGCGGCTATCAGCCTAAACCCTAAACCCCTAAGCCCTAACCCCTAAGTAGACTTAGTCATACATATAAAAACCCTGATTCGGGTGCTTCATAATTTCCTTCCAGCCTGCTTGCTCAGTTCCTTGACCCTCCAAGAATCAGGGGTTTAGGGTTAAGGGTTTAAGGTTTTGGGGTTTGGGGTTTTGGGGTTTAGGATTGAGGGTTTAGGGCTTAGAATTAGAGCCCAGCTGGGCAAGCCGAAATTGAAACCCTAACTGCTTTACAACCTGTCCCAGATTCATGCATACATATCTATACACAAATACATGACTTATAAGCTTACTTACGTATTTATATTTGACCCCGTATACTGTACACCATATAAATATGAACCTCTATCATGGTCTGAACATAGAGATGCGGATTCCGGATTTCGGGCTCTTCAGGTTAACCAGTTGTTAACCCGACCCCTTTACGGCCGTAGAGGCACGAACACTAGCATCCAAGTGACCACAAGAGGACGCGAACTACCCTCACGTATGTCAAGCCCTGAGACATAAAACTTGCAAGTTGCAAACGTGTCCTGCAGCAAGCAGACACTATGATAAAGCCTAGACCCTGAACGGTGCAGGACCCTAAACCCTGCACCCCACCCACTATGAAACCGACATCGCAAAGACCTCAAGCCCTCCCTAAACCATAGACCCCAAACTCTAAATCCTCTCCCTTATGGGGCTGAAGACCCTAGCCCCAAAAAAGTGAACCTTTTGAAATATACTACCCAAAAGGTTAAAGGTTACCTCACAAAGTTCCTGCAGCAGCACTTGCAACTTCTCAGACTTCATCAGCTCGTCGCAGGCTGTCTGCAGCACATCGAGGTGCCCGAAGATTCCCGACAAAGCGTCCTTGGGTCAGTGGCTTTGGGTTTAAACAAGTTTAGGGCTTGGGGCAAGGGTTCGGGGTCTGGGGTTTAGGGGTTCAGGGTTTTCTGAAGGGCGTGGGGGTTTAGGGCGCAGTGCTGGGGGCTTTTAGGTGTTTACGGTTTAGTGTTTACCTAGACCCGTAGCTACCGACGCTTACGGCAACCCCTGATCACCTCTTAAGAATGAATATGAAAGCCCATTAAAGTGCTCCTGGTAAGGTTTACGGCTGAGTGGAGGGCTAGAGGCTTCTCGATTAAAGCTCAGCGCGGTTCAGGCTTTGGGATTTGGGGTTTAGGCTAGGGGTTCAAGTTCTTTGTTGTTCAGGCTTGGGTACTGCCCCAAGGAGTAACAGTCTTACAGGCTCCTATCAACCGGATTTACGTATCGCACTGTGTGTTATCATTATTGTCTTTACTGCTATGATTCAACGGTTGCTGAGTCGAGGCCTTGACCACCCCATATTCATCTCATCCTCCACCAAGGCAGGAGGCGAAATGGAAAAGCCGAAGTCCTCCTCGTCAGTCTTGATGCGCTTCTTACCGGTGCCTCCTGCCCCAACAGCGGACAGCGTGACGGAACAACCATGAGCCAAGCCCAGCATCAAGCAAGTCTTGCGATACGACGAATTGTCATAGCTCACCCGATCTTCCCCACGAATAGGGCTTCGGGCATTGGCTGGTACTCACTCTAAGCTTATTATACCCTGAACCCGGACTTTCGAAGCCCCTTACATCCGGAACCAAGATACCAGGTTCAGGGCTTAGGGCTATTACGTTTCAGAAAAGTTTGGGCAGGTACTAGAACATGACAAAGATGACAACTAATCATTCGAAGGAGTGCACAGAAATGAAATGCTCATAGAAGCCTAAGAGAGCTTTCCTTACTCATATAGAACCCTCCTAAATTTAGGCTCTATATCCCATCTAACTGAGACACTGAGCCCCGACATCACGGACCTTCTAGTAACCCTTAAGCGACCTCAAAGGGAGGCCACCAAATTCCCAAAGCCCTAAACAGCAGTAAACCCCAAACCACCGTCCCAGCCACGAGAGATCTGGAAAGTCGGAGGAGCTTCAGTCGAGCCTGAGTCAGGTGAAGCTTGAGGCAAAAGTTGAAGGGTTTCCCTCAGGGTTCAGGGGGGTTACTCTTCATGGAAGCTGTCAGATCATGGGGTAGGTGGCCAGCGTCAGTGGCTGCATGGTTTCTGAGTGTAGGTTGTAATTGTAGCCCGCCTGAGAAGCCTTCAAAAGCCCTCAACCGCACTGTATATCCTGTAAGAAACACTGTAGCCCCCCTCATGAAAACCATAGCTTCCTACGACACCAGCATAGAGACAAACATACACACATGCACATGTGTACACTTACTTGCATACTTACTTACGTAATTAATTAGCTATGAAACCATGTAAAATTCTTCAGAACCTACAAAGCCAAAGAGTCCAAAGCACCTACATGGTAGAATGTAGAGTTTATGTGTCAGGAATGCCTCTTATGATTTGGGGAAGCATCCTGAACCCTAAACCCTAACCCACCCCTACCTTAACCCCAAATAACCTACCTTATTAAGGACTATAATATAAAGATATCATATTAGGGAACCCTAACAGAGGTAGGTTCCTTAGGGTCCAGGTAAACCCTAAACCCTTGGAAAAAGCCACGGACTTCCCGGCCTCACTGCGGGGTACCGAAGCGACCTGGCGAATGCACTGCTCCACATCGCGCAGCTCCTCGAGGGCTTTGGAGATTAGTGACTTTGAGGCTAGTATGTTTAGGATTTATAGGGTTTAGGGATTAGGGGTTTTGAGGGTTTATGTTTAGGCTTTAGAGTTGAGGGATTAGGGTTTAGGGCTTTTTGGGGTTTAAGGAATAGGGTTGAGGGATTAGAGTTTAGGGCTTTAGGGATTACGGTTTCGCGTTCTTAGGGTTTAGGGATTTCGGTTTGGGGTCGAGGGAAAAGGGTTTGGGGCTTTAGGGTTTGGGGATTACGGTTTAGGGTTGAGGGATTAGGGTTTGGGGCTTTTAGGGTTTAGGGATTAAGGTTTAGGGATCAGGGATTAGGGTTTAGGGATTTCACAGGGCCGCTTTGGGGGTCCAGTAGCTTCTTACTAATAAGGGCACCCTTCTTCGCACTGTTTGGCTTTAATAAGGGAGCCCAAAAAGAAAAAGGGCAAAAAGGTACTGCTACTGGGGGTTTAGGGTTTAGGGATTAGGGGTTCAGGGTTGAGAGTTTAGGGTTTAAGGTTTAGGGGATTTCAAAGGGCCAATTCGGGTATCAAGGATATGGGTACATAGGGTCCTCTGGGCCTCTCGTCTCAAACCCTAAACGCGATGCCCTGAACCCTAAGCCCTAAGTGCGTGAGTCTGATCAGCGAGCCCTGCGCACAGGAAGACACGAGAACCTCTGTGGACATGCAGGCTGTCTTTTGCTCGAAAAAACTGGTGGAGGCCGTCCGTGTTCAGGGGTCTAACCATTGTTGTGGGGCTTAATTCTAGTGATTGGGCCCTGACATAGAGCATTTGTAGTCCACTTCATTGAAAGATTGCTTATCTTCACGTAGGTTATCAGCCGTAGCCTTAGCTCTGTAAGGGCTTTAGATCGACTGGCAAGCATTCGGAACTATCCTAGTGTAGGTGCGTCTTGTGCTGAGCCATGGATCCTATGTTTCGTCAAAGAAGACCTTCTGCACAAGGCGACCCGGATTGGGGTAGGCCGACTGCGGATCAAGAATACGAGGCAGCCTTGAGTCAAGGGAACGCTGGCGGCAGTGGGTCGTCTGGAATCATCGCGGCAGGCGAATCCTCGCCTGGCACTTTAGAACAGGGCACAGCAGCTGTGGCGCCTACTGCAGGGGCGACGCAGCCGATGCCCACGGCACACCGTTTTCATTCGGATCGCATTCAAGCCGAAGTGGCGCTGGCTAGAAGCAGGCCACATACTTTGGATGATGATGCAAGGCGGATGTTGGATGTGAGCGAATCCGCTCTAGAGGATCGAAATTTATCTGGACGGAAGGATGAACCTGATTATGGATCGGAAGCTCAGCCGGGACTTCCTAGAGTTGCGAGATTAGAGTACACGGAAGGACCTGTGACTGGTCAAAAGGACACTGGATCAGTGACTGCGGGAGAAGGTGGTACCTCCAGGGGTTCTCCAGAGCCTCAGTCTAATCCGGAAGACTTTGGCTCAATGAGGGGCCGCGCTCGGGAAGTGGCATCTACTTCTGCAGATGATGGTGATCGAGGTGTTCTGAGCTCTTCAGAGCGGCCAACTCCTGATGATCAACGAGAGCTTGTGCCTGACGCAACGGGTAGTCCGAATAGGATGGAGTCTTTGCTATTGCAGGTAGTTGAGGAGAATCGGTTGTTGCGTGGTAGGCTGGATCAAGTAGAGAGGTCTAGTTGGCATAGTGGGGCGACTAGGAATACTCATGAGGCTCCTGTTGCTTCGCCGGCTTCCTTTGATCCTCGGTCGAGTCTGCTGATCGGATCGGCTCCTGCTGGTGTTGAAAGTGTACAGCTGATAGAGGAGTTTGCCAGGAATGGTGATCCACGGTTGTTCGGTGAGCTACAGGGTACGTTGGCTAGGGGGTCCTGGTCTCAACCGTTTGGGCTGATGCCTCCAACCGGGCGATCTGAGTATGTGGATCATGGGGCAAGTCATGGGGTCGTAGCAAATCCTACTACCGGTCTAATGGCTATTCCTCCGCCCCCCCTTCCGAGTTTCAGGGGTATAGATCGGGAGTTTGGTGATGTGCCGAGAGCTCAATCGTTTAGGCAATTCCGGCAGTCGATTCAGGATTCGGGTGTGAATGGGGATAATCCTTCAGGATCTGGGTTCTTGACTCCGAGGTCGGGTGTTAAGGGAGAAGCAGCGGGGTTTGATGCTAGTGGGTATCCGGTTTCTCCTGGGGGTACAGTCATCAGACCACCGCCGGGCCCGCCCCCGATCTCACCTCGAGTGGGACAAGTTGCTGGAGGTTACCAAGGGCAGTCGCTGGTTGGGAGTGCGCAAGCGTGCGGAGGATCAGGGGTTGGTGGCTTGGGTGATAGCCTTAGTGGTCTGGCTGGGTGTTCGGGACAGGGGCAAGTACCTGTAAGTTCAGGTCAAGTTCCAGTGCAGGTAGGATATCCAGTACAGGGCCAGTTTCCGAATCCAAATTCGGGTCAGCTTGGTGTTTCTGGGTCCAGTAATGACGGTGCTGGGCGGAATCATGTAAGTGGGGCTCCAGAAGAACCTGCGAAGTACATCATTGATCTTCCTAAGCTTGCTGCGGTTGACTTAACGACAAGCGCTGTTACTTGCGGTAACTGGCTCGCGCAGACTCGTCAGGTCTTTGCGGGGTTGTCTGCATCGGCTTCTGTATGGTTTGAGTCGGTTGAGGGTGCTGCTAATGCTAGCTATCAACGCTGGTTGGTTGCAGATCCCCTTGAGAGACTGGCGCTTGATCCTTCTACAGTCGTTGCGAATTATGACGCGTACAAATACCAGAGAGTGGAATCTCGGGCTGTGTCCTTGTTGTTGTCGTGTGTGCCGGCTAGCTTCAAGGAAGAGTTGATTACTAACAGATGGATGTCAAGTGCCTCCATTCTTTACCGGATTCTCTGTGTGTATCAACCTGGAGGTTCGATGGAACGTGGGTTTCTCCTCTCTAGATTAGTACAACCAGAGCCTTGCCGTACATACAAGGAAGCAATCGTCTGTCTAAGAAGATGGCAACAAGACCTCATTAGAGCAAGGGAAGTGCAGGCGACTTTGCCGGACCCTAGCTTGTTGTTAAAGGGGGTTGACGCTGCTACGAGTTCGCTGCTTAACCTTCAGCCAATGGTGGCATTCAGGATAAGCGCGTTCAGACATAAGAGTTCAATCGATTATAACCCGTCTGTCTCTGGAGTCATTCAACTTGTACGACTCATACAAGCTGAATGTGAATCTATGGTGGCAGCCGCAAAGTTGGAAGATGCACACCCAAATTTCCAGCACCCCACAACTGGAATAAAACACATCTTCCAACTTTGGATTCTTCCAAGTTTGCAACCTTCCAACTTTTGATTACCGAATGAACCGCTCCAAATACCAGGACCTAAAGTTGGAAGATGGGACCAAGTCAGACCCTCAATTTAACTGCTGTTTCTCTCTCTCTCTCTCTGCAATACTGGAGCGGTCGCAATAATTGCCATTTATCTCCCTCTGCAATACTGGAGCGGCTATAGTAATTGCAGCTTCTCTCTTTCTGCAATACTGGAGCGGTCGTAGTACTTGCAATTTCTCTCTCTCTCTCTCTCTCTCTCTCTCTCTCTCTCTCTCTCTCTCTGCGACACTGGAGCGGTCCTAGTAATTGCAAATTTTCTCTCCCTGCAATATTGGAGCGGTCGTAATATTTAATTTGGAGTTTTTCTCTCTGTGCAATACTGGAGCGGTCGTAGTACTTGCAGTTTCTCTCTCTCTGCAATGATGGAGCGGTCGTAATAATTGCAGTTTCTCTCTTTCTGCAATACTGGAGGGGTCGTAGTAGTTGCAGTTTCTTTCTCTCTGCAATATTGGAGTGGTCGGAGTAATTGCCATTCCCCTCTCTCAGCAATACTGGAGCGGTCGTAGTAATTGCGGTTTCTCTCTCTGCATTACTGGAGCTGCTTCCCACAAACCGAAAGTTGAAAGATACCATTACTGCATTAACTGGTCCAAACGCCGGGACCTAAAGCTGGAAGATGGGACCAAGTCAAACCGAAAGTTGGAAGATGCCGTTGCCGCATCAACCGTTCCAATTGCCACCTTCCAACTTTCCGGCGGCTACTGTATGGCTATGACGGTTGTAGCTACACCCGATAAAAAGGCCAAAGCAGCAGCTGCTGCGGCGGCCAGGCTAGAGACTCCTTACGCTAAGTCACCTACTGTTCCACCTGTTCCGCCGCCTCCTCCGGCAGGGGCCTCTGTGGCAAGGATTGGGGAAGGGGATGGCAAAGGGAAAGGTAAGGGTAAGGGTGAAGGAAGCGGGGGAGTGCAATTGTGCACCAAGTTCTCTGACGCCACAGGGTGTAGGTTCGGGGACGCGTGTCATTTTCGTCATGATCGTGGTACCGCTAGGAAGCAGGGTCGTTGTCTATCTTGCGGCCAGAAAGGGCATTATAGACCAGAGTGCACATTGGTTGCGCCTGAGAACAGGCAAGTTGTACCTGGGGATTCCTCCGAAGGGGCCTCGCCGAAAGCTAGTCCTAATCAGCCGAGGAAGGGTGAGCCTAAAGCGAAGGCTAAGGCAGGTGCTCAGGCGAAAGGGATTACTGAGGATGTTAGAGAACCGGCAGCTTCTTCGGGAGGGAATCCTACAGGAGCGAACGCTTCGTCGGTTCCGCCTGCTGATCGTGATGCTTTGTTGGCTGAAGCTGCTAAACTCCTGAATAAGGGTACCGCTGTCAAGGGCCTGAAGTTGAGGAGTTCGGAACTTGACAAGTATGGCATAGATCGGTCTTGGTTGTTGAGTGCTGTGGCTTCTCCTTCGGACGATCGGTTTGCGCTTATTGACTCCGGTGCAACTAATGGGCTTAGGCCTGCGATATCGGTTGAGGAACTTCAAGATTCGAGGGTTATCAATGTAGACCTAGCCTCGGGTACCACTCAGCTTCATATTAACGACCAAGGCACCCTGCTGACCGAAGGTCCATGTCAGGTAATTGTTCCAGCTGGGTATCTTGTTGAACTTGGTTATGTCATTACTTGGAGAAAGAAGGGCTG